CAGCTCCCACACTGAATGTTCCGAAAGAAGGCACAAAGACCTAGTCTGCATGTGAAACTACCTCTAAGGACTTCAAACCGGTCAGCCACATCTTCTCGGAGACTTCAAACATGGTGCATGAAACTCACGCCAAACAATGCCTATATAAAGGTCTCACTTCCAACCTCATGAGGTATGCACAATTTAGCTCTCATAGTACTCTAGCTCTCTCAAAACTCTTTGCTGACTTAAGCATCAGAGTGTCCCGGGTTAAGCAACCTAGACACTCTGATCTCTCTCTTCTTGTAGCTCGACCAGGCGACCTACTCAGTCCAGCGTCCTAGCTACCCGCCAACAGAGAGCTACCAAATCGTGCATCATCAATTGGCACCATCTATGGGAACACTATACAAAGCCAAGTTCTCACCTTTCTCAAATCCTAAGCTCAATGGCATCCTCAAGCAACAATGTCTTCAACAACGCTAATAACAACGCACGTATTGGTGATGCTATCACAACCCAAATAGTCTCCCAGCCCTAACTGCAAGGCCGCACTACAAATCAAGCCCTCCACGGCTCCCATGAGAATTGGTAGCTAGTTGATTGTGGAGCCAGCCTCGCAGGTCGAACATCTCTTGGTTCCCATGAGAGTCGGCAACCCGCAAACAATAGATCTGCCCCCTCAAGTTGAACCCCCGTGATGGCATAGATGCACCCGCAGCCTCAATACCACTTATCAGCTTGCGGGGTGAGCATGGTTCCGACCTGGTCAAGCTAAACTCCACTTCTAGCACTCCAACTAAGGCAAACTCGAGCGGATCTCAAAGAACATCGGCATTTCCTGGTCAACCTGATAAACAAAAAAAAAAAGGAAAAGCGAGGAAAGGAAGATTTCAGAAGTTCCATTTATGGGAGAATTCCCTACAACATATTCAAATTCCACTAACTCGCAGGCCCGGCGTATAGCAGTCCTAAAAATGTTTAGTGGTTAGTCCTTTTTTGGATATCATATCTTTTCCATATCATTGTCGAACCCTATATGGAAAGGCAGATCCTCCACTAATCATCATTCTCGTCACCATCCTCATCATCATACTCAACGTTGTCACCCTCCTCTAGAGTAGTTGCCTCTTGTTCAACCTCTTGGGTCAGATCGTCCAGAACCGACTTAAGCGAGATAGAGCCCAAGTCAAGGTCTAGGTATAGGTGTCGAAGAAAGCGGTGGCACAGGTTGAAGCTCCACTTTAGAAAGGGTACCGCCGCTTCAATTCTCTCTTGTTCAAACTCTAAAGATTGGCTAAAGCGATCAATAGCAACAACTTCAGCTCGGTGAATATTGTCAAAGTGTCTGGCCTGCTATTCCTAGAGCTCGTCGTTTAGACTGGCAATCATCCCCCTAGATTCTTCTAGCTCGTAGTTCATACTCATGCTCAGGGAATAGAAGTGTTGCCAGTCCTCCTCGGCACTGAGATAGGCCTCTTCTAGTTGAGATTGGAGGGATTCTATGTTGGCCCTTCGAGGCGGTGACCTGATCTAGCATGACTTGACCCAGCGAATTGATCTGTGAACAGAAAAATGGCTCAATAAGGGATAAATAATGTAGCAAAGCAAGTTTTTTGCAAGGATGCATACCTGCATGGCATTCCGAATGATCTAGGCACTGACTTCAGAGAGATCAAGCTCATGATACATGCAAACATCTTCTGGAAGGAGAATGCCCCTTCCCATACGAAGTGCCACGTATGGGTCATGAATCCAATCGGTGATAAAGCAATTGACTCGGGTACAAACAGAGAGATCTCTGTGCCGTAAGGAGTCATCGCCTCATCGAAATGGGACGTGCTCATCGGTGGTATTGGAGCAACATGAGCAGGGTCGATCTGAATCGAGTTGTTGCCCTCCTCCAGGTCAACCGCATCACGACAACCTTCCGTCGACCTCTCTTCTACCGCATGGCTAGACTCACCAACCGCCCTCCTCTTCTTCTTAAACAGCTTTTGAGCTGCGTTTAAGATCGAAGAAAAGATAGTCATCTCTGTGATCAGGAAAAAAAACTCAATTGAGGGACAAGAGGCAAGTACCGTCGTTCAACTAGGAACTCGATGAGCACCGATTCAACTAGGAACTTGTTGACCAAGGAGCGTCGTTCAATCAGGAGTCTAAGGTCATTCAGCAACTCCTCATCGAACTTGATTTCATATCTTCATGGCTTGCACCTCCAGGTCGTTGACATTGGCTAGCCTTCATCACGACTCAGAAAGAACTTTGTTTTCTAGTTCGTGATTTTGGACAAAAAACCGCCCGAAAGCTTAAACTCAGATTGGTAGCTAATGTAGAACCAATAAGGCTCATTGGGAACCTTCTTTATACTACATAGCCCCAAGAAGACATCTATATCTAAGGGGAAACTGAGATGATAGCTAAGAGAAATGGTCCTGATTGAGTTTGTGTGCAGTTGATCCAGTACCAAGCCGTAGCGTCAGAGGATTTCACAGATAAATGAATGAAGGGGAAAGCATATCCCAGCAACGATGGCTTCCATGAACACATAGGCCTCATTCTGTCCCTGTCTCCACAGATATTGCTCGTCCTTGGGCTGGATATAGTTCAAGTCATTAGAAATCTGATAGGTGTTAATTAGATCCACTATCTCCTCGTCGAGGCCCCTCTAGGGGAACCTCTTCGCTCTTGATCCGAGGACCCCCCCTCCCCGGCTCGAGCATCTGGGTAGCACTCCCTCTCCAACCCTCTAGACATGAGTAAGAGGAAATAGAGACTCACCGACAAGAAGTGTAAAAAGACGAGTTGCCAAAAACTACCACCGCCGAGCCAGAGATCATCAATGCTTCACCAATCTTCACCCTAGCATAAGTCCAAAACCGGATAACGAAATGGGGCCCTTGAGGGTCCCCCCAATTTACTTATAGAAGCACGAACCACCGATGGACCAGATTTGCCCAATCCAACAGTCCAAGAAGAAGCCCGCGTTCAAAATTTTGAAGGGCGTGCATGGCATAGTTCAAATTTTGAAAGCACGCCCTATTTCAAATTTCGAAAAGTTGCGACCAATTTCAATTGTTTTTAGACTAGAAATGTTGGCTTCACGCCAATAATAGCTCGACAAGTCGACCAACACAAGCGGACTAACTCAACCGACGTCCAGAGCTGGTCACCTCGGGCCTCATCTTCAAACAAGCTACACCCTTCATCGAACTAGTCGTGGCTCGAGTGTGGGGGGCAATTGATGAGGGGTGATTTGGCCCTCCACTGACCTAGTGACACGTGACATCCGTCTTCACCGCTTGACACCTCAGCGCTACTTGGATAGTCGCGTATCTCGCCAAGTTAAGGAGACGCACCCTAGAATCAGTCCAAGGTGCCTCATACACAGTTCGGGCACCTCAACAAGGCGGTTAGCAGCACCTTGTCCAGGGCCGACTTGTGGTGCCTCTGGTACCTCCTCGTTACCAGTTCAAAGGACCTCGACGTGAGAAGCGACCTCCTTCAAGGACTTGCCGACCTATGGTACCTTGTCAATACCGGTCCAAGGGACCTCGACTTGAGGAGCGACTTGCCTGACTGAGGTCCAGGTGGCGGCCTACGAGACATGCTCGTCAACCTCCTCCGTGTGCGTCCTATTATTCCCAGGTCATCTAGAAGTCAGCTCCCACACCGAATGTTCTAGAGGAAGACACAAAAACCTAATCTACATACGAAACTACCTCCAAGGATTTCAGACCAGTTAGTCACGTCTTCCCAAAGATCTCGAACGTGGTGCGTGAAACTTGCACCAAACAATGTCTATATAAAGGTCTCACTTCTAACCTCATGAGGTATGCACAATTTAGCTCTAATAATGCTCTAGCTCTCTCAAAACTCTTTGTTGACTTAAGCATCGGAGTGTTCACCCCGATTCAAGCAACCCGAACATTCTAATCTCTCTTTTCTTGAAGCTCAACCAAACGACCTACTCAATCCAACGTCCAAGCTGCCTGCCAACAATAAGCTACCAAATCACGCATCATTAGTGCCGCATGGCATGGGATGGGTACCCATACTTAATTATCAATGCCATGGATGATCATTTATGATCCAGCCCGCAATTGTCTAGGATTGGCAGCCATATTTCTGTCAAGCCCTGCCAGCCCAGACCTACATCAAATCTGCACATAATGTGAGTTGGGCCCAGGCCAAACAAGCCTTAGGCCTGGCCCAAAAATTATTGTATATATAGTATCTTAAAACATTTTATAATATTTTACTAAATATATATCTATGTAAATGTAATTATAATATAAATGGCATTGGCATGTATTCTGGTATTATATATATATAAACATATGCATTTAACTTTTTAAATATGTTTTTCTATAATTATGAACATGAAGTTAAATTAAAATTTTAATTTTCATTCGTACGGCCCAGCCCAGATGTCCAGCCTGGGCATGGGGTGCGGGCTGGGCTCAAGCAGGCCTTTATTCTGTTGATACGTTGTAAAAATCCAGCCCGAGCCCGGCCCACTATCAAATATAGGAACAAATCAACAAAACAATACCCTACTCCTATCCTATTCCAATGTGGACAGAGGTATTGACTATTGAAACAAAACCCAGCTACTGGCTACTGGAGATGCCTGTTCTAGCCTTATAGGGTTTGCATTTTCCTGCCCACAGGCGGCCCAGATTAAGCATATTATTGCCATTTTCTGACCACGCTAACGACGACGAATGAGAGAAAATTTGTCACGTCCAAAAAGCCATGTCACAAGACAACTGAACCGTGCTCTGTACTCTACAATCTAGATGAACAGTAGAGAAAGGTGGATATGTTAAAGAAGCGATTGTGAATGGAGGGCTGTTTGCAATTTGCAGTTCTATCCGCAGGGTATTGCTTGAGATATTTATGGATAGGTAGACCGTAGACATCTTCGAGTTGTATTGTATTTTGTATCAGGGTATTCCGGTATTCGTGGGTGGACTCTCTGACGTTCTGTAGACTAATTGATTGTTTACAGTACAGGATTGATTAAAAATAAAACATAATTAAACAATTCAGAGCGGGAAATGCCTGCAATGAGTACGAGGCACAATTATAGAGCTTCAACACTTGGGAGTTGGGAAGGTAAGTAAACATGGTATGATGGTAATAATAAATACAAAGCAAGTCCGCATCCACTACAACTCCAAAAGTTATGCGTCTGCAAATGTTTACAAATATACCACAAGTATCCAAATGTTCTCCTCCATTCCATGTGGTGGTTGGTTCCAGTTCCACAACGCTTTACTTGTAAAACTCAAAGTCCGTGTCAGGCTTTTTTACGTTTGCCCGGTACCCCTTCTCAAAATCCTTTGGAAGTATAACATACCGATTCTTGCGAACAGCATGCATTCCTGCTTCTTGACAAATTGCCGCGATCTGCATCCCCCACCATGAAAAACAATAGTGGTTTCAGACATTGAAAGACAACCCCAAATCACCATATATTTTACAACAGATCATACAAATAATACTTACCTAAGTTTGTCTCAACATTATCTGTGCTTTGCTTCATAGACTAAACCTTTGTTGGGAGATTAAAGGGAGGAAAGAGAGTTGTTTTTCTCTTAAATAATTTTTATTTGCTGGATGAATTGACTAAACATATTCAGCAGACAATATTCTGAAAATTGTACCATAAATTGTAGACAAAATTAAATTGAATCAAATTGTGAATCATATCATACATCATAAGATTATTTATGTTTCTTACAAACTTCTCAAAAAAAGGTTGGTTGGTGGTAGTGAGAAACGATTTTGCGGGTCCAGCTTTGAAGAATAGATATGGAATTGAAGAGAGTGGAATAGCAGAACAGGATTCATGTAGCTGACTCCATATATTTGGGACAACGAGGCTTAGTTGAATTGAGTTTTCTTCTATTTTAATGGATTGGATTTCTTTATTCATAAGATATGAACAAATTGAGCTCTGCTTTCAGAACAATTTATTTGGCTAGTTTAAATATCAATTATATTCTCCTAGTATTATATAAACTTGGCAATTTTCATTTTTTTTGTGGTAAACGTAATTGTATTAACTGTAAAGGAGGTGAGCAACTCTCAATCTAATACAAAAAAAGAGTGCCTGTATACATGCACATAACATATACATTCAGCTTCTATACATAGAAATCAAAATAAAATGGATGACCAATGATTAGAAAAGCAGCTAGATGGATTTCCCACAAACAGCCTTGTGTCACCAGCCCATCTCCTCAAGTTCCATTCCACGCGGCTAATAATCACCTCCAAAGATTCAGACTTGGCCTCAAAAGTTCTGCAATTCTGCTACTTCGTAATTATCCAACATATAGCAAAAGGCAGACATTTCCTAAGAAAGTTCCCTTTAGCACACCCATCATCCAAGACAAAACTAGCTCAGCCATTGAATACGGAAGAAACCATTGAAATCTGAAATAGTCTAAAGAAGTGACACCAGACATGGCATCCAATGCTTTTTGAGGGAGTCTGAGATTTCCACATCCAAGACCATGCCACTTTATCAAAGGACCCCAATAAAGCACAGTAACATGATTTAGTTCAGAAGTGGTCATCTTTTCCCCCCACCCACAACCAAACATCCCTACAGCTAGGATCAACCTTCATCTCATACAACCTGCACAGCAAGATTCCATTTAGTTTGCAGGAATAGGGGTCTGGAATCAGAATCGGAATGGTCCATTCCAATTCCAACCATTTGGTTAGGCAAAATCAGAATCCCATTCCCATTCCTGGTGGATTGGCCATTCCAACCCCTCCCTTGGGAATAAGAATCCATTCCATCTGATTCTGATTCCCCAATGGATTTTGGTTCCGATTCTGACTCTTAACCAAGTGGACCCTAAATCTTCCAGTAATTGTACTTCCCAATCATTTAAGGGCCTGTTTGGTTTGCGAGGGAGGGGGAGGGAATGGCCATTCAGGGGAAAGCCATTCCACCAGGAATGGGAATCAGATTCCAGTTCCTCCCAACCAAATGGTTGGAATTGAAATGTGTCATTCAATTCCAATTCCAGACCCCTATCCCTGCAAACCAAACGGACTCTAGTTTCTAAGAAAACTAGGGATCTACACTGCTTGGCCACTGAGCATCTCTATAAATTCACTAACCGGCCCATCCTTGTTAGAAGCAATGGCAAAGAGAAAAGGAGATTAGGGGAAATCTCACAAAATGGTTGGTCCTAGCACCAAGAATTCTTCCAAAAACAGATACTCCTGCCATCCCTTAGTATACTGCTGGAATTTGGGCATTCCAGACATAACCCCTTTCTACACCCTAGTACTGAAGGACTGTTGAGGAATAAGTGCGGTCCGGTTCATAGATGACCTTGTACTTGCAACCAATAATCCTCCTCCTCCTCCTCCTCTCTCTCTCTCTCTCTCTCTCTCTCTCTCTCTCTCCTGTGTTGAGCAGTACCCCAACAGTAAGGCATCACTCACGACCCTTAAACCTCTAATTCCAGCTCCACCTTTCTCCTTAGGCTCATAAATAAAGGCCCAAGCAATGCAGTGAAACTTTTTCTCTTTGTTGGCACCTTCTCACAAGAAACCTCTTCTCGACTTCTCCAAAATTTTAGCCACTGACACTTGAATTAAGGTAATTTTCCCCCTTAGACAAATATCTCCCTTTCCAACCCAAAAGCCTCAAAGCGTTATATAACTGAATCTCAGATAGCACTAGATCTGTAATTAGCTTCTAGCAAAAGACCCCAATGTACTAGCCAGTTCACTAATGAGGTACATCCCCTACAGGAATATGTTAGCTCTTCTAGAGATTAGCCTTCAACCAAGAGGCAACCTCAAAGCAAATCAAAAGGCACCTCAAAAACATCAAGTCAACATGGCAAGCCCTTAAAAAAAAGGGTTTCATCAGCAAACTGCAATGAAGACACCAATGGACCATCACTGCAAACAAATAAGCCTTCAATATATCCTCCCTTGAAAACCTTGCTAATTAATCTCCCTAAAGAGTCCACTAGAGAGAAAAGAAATGGGGACAAGGGATCACTCCGGAAATAGTAAAGCAATTGATGACGACTGAAAACATAGGATTAGAAATGCAGCATGTTACCCATTGCCTCCACATAAAACCAAACCAAGTTAACAAAGGGCCAGTGCACATGGTCATAAGCTTACAAATGAGATTGGGATTACCTTGCCAAAGATGGGAATCAATGCACTCATTAGCAATGAGGGTCTCATCAGGAATTTGCCAACCATCCATGAAAGCACGTTGAGAGGGTAGGACCAATTTTCCATCACATTCCTCAATCTGTTAGCCAACAACTTGGAAATGACTTTGTAGAAGCTTCCAGTGAGGCTAATACGGAAATCCTTAATATCCGAGCCACCAATTAGCTTAGGGATCAGGGAAATGAAGTTAGATTTTTCACCCTATGACAGCTGGGCATTCACCTAGAAATCCTTCACTGCTACCATGACATCAGCCTTAGTAATATCCCAACATTTGGTGTAGAATTATTCCATAAGAAAGCTGTCAGGACCTATGGCTTTGTTTCCATAAAGCTCCTGCAAAGCTTGCCAAACCTCCCCTCCTCAAACTCCTCTTGAGCCAATCTCTATCCAAATTATCCAAGTTGATCAAAAATCACTCCATCCAATTCCCATCTAACCACCTCCTCAGCAAAAAGCCTCCTGTAAAAAGATATAATACCCTGTACCACCTCATCTTATTCACTCTACATTGTTATAATTCAATTCATATGCCCTTTGTTCTGTATATCTGGCTTCATTTCTCCGTATATCAATGGCAATTGTTTGGAGTTTTGAGTTACATGGAATATTAGGATATCTAGGACTTCAGTTGCCACTAGTTGCTAATAATATTCCTAGGGAATTGTTTTATGATTGGTATTTTCCTAGGGAATTGTTTTTTGATTGGTATATTCCAAGGGAATTGTTATTGTCAAATTTCATCATCTAGGTACCCCAGAGGACAAGGGGCCCCCTCCCACCATGGCCTTGTCATCTTGACAACTATGATTGACAAAAAAACCATTTGTAGTTCCTAATCCATACAAAACTCAATAACCAAGGATGGATCAGTTGCAAGAGTACCCACAGAAGAAAACAAGAACACAGTTTTCTATCAAAACATAAAGAGCTAATATGATGGATCAACTGACCTCAGCAGCACTAATTTTATCTGGCCGAGATACATAGTCTTCCAAGTCAACCTCATCACTTAAGTTCATCTTTGCTGTGCAAACCTGTACAAGAACAAATGATAGTAATAAGGCTCTTGAAATTCGGATTCTTGACAAATGACATTCATGTTGAACTGCAAAAGCATTTTATGGATATAATGGTGAAAAAGAGTAATACATGAGCAACCTTAGTTCTTTACAACTTCATAGTAGAGAGAAAATTATATATGTATCCATAATACTAACCTGAAAAACAAGCCTCTTTTGACGTCTATCAGGCAAAGGGAACTCAATTTTCCGGTCAAGCCTTCCAGGACGCAGAAGTGCAGGGTCTAGGGTGTCAGCTCGGTTAGTTGCCATTATTACCTTTACATTCACTGTTTGGTCAAACCCATCCATCTGTAAAAGCATTCAGACCATAAATAAATAAACAAAAGAAGTAAATCTGAATTATATGGGATAGTACAATACAGGAGTGTAACTTGTCCGTCATAATTATAAAATCAGTAATAAACCCAAGAAACAGTAGATTGAGGCATGCAATTGAAATCATTATGTTCTTCCATCTCTACTTTCAACGATCTTATCTTTTTAATCCATATAATATGATTTCTACCTGGTTCAGGAGTTCCATAAGGATTCGTTGAACTTCTCTGTCAGCACCAGTTTGGGCATCAAACCTAGCAGTAGCAATAGCATCCACCTCATCAATAAATATAATTGCAGGAGCATTCTCTTTGGCTAGACGAAAAACATCACGGACCATTCTTGGACCCTGACGAAAAGATTAGATGCAATCCATCACTACTGAGTTATGAACCAAATCCAGGAGGGAGCAAGCAGAAAGGAAGAAAAATGAGAATGAACAATATGGCTACACAAAATGACAATTATTAATGTGCAAAAGGAAGTTCTAATAGACCATGTAGGTTTCAATTAAAATATTAAAGCAGTATTATATGGACTTGTGCAGGGTTGGAATCCAAAACATATCTAGGTTCTGATTTGCAAGCTTCAAGAATAATGTTTGGAAGATATAAGAATTGTAGTTTAAGAGTTCTATTAAACAACAAATTTATGCCGGTACACAATGAATTTATGCACAACAAACAACAAATTCATGCCAGTACACAATGAATTTATGCACAACAAATATGTGTACTATACTTTTCAAAATCACTACATTTTTTGTTGTGCATAAAAATGATGTTTTTGTTTTTATTGAATAGGATAGATAGATAAGTTTCCACTTGCATGGGCCATTTTTTATAGTAAAAACAAAACTTACCAAATAAAAAAAAGTACAAGAAAGCTGATAAGAAATCACCCAAAAAAAAGACAACATATGCAGTAACGCAATGTCACAAACCCAACCTCCAAATAAACAAATCAAAACCCAAAAAACACCCCTGAACAAAAAGAACATTCCATGATAAAATAATAAAAGCTACTATTGTGTACTCTCACATATGAACCTCAAAAATATTAACAACCTCTTCAACCCACCATTCTTCACTTCATTTCATTATCAAAAAAAAAAATGCTTTATTAGCTCAAATAGAATCTTTTCCTATTCTCCATTTATGGACCTTCTTGACCTTCTTATGAGGACCAACCCCAAATAAACCCCCTTGTAGATGAGCAAAGACCTTTAGAACTTGGGTCGCTCTTTGATTTTTCTGACAGTTAAATTTTTTTAGGGAAAATTTTATCAAAAACCCCCAAATAAACCCCCTTCCTGACTGTTAAAATTTGTCCAAAAAAAATCCGCCCCTTAAAGCATCTAGCCACATTAGAAGTCTTCTCTACCTTCCTCTGTTCTCTATCCACATATTTATCAATCAAAGAAGCCCCCTAAAATTCGAAACCCATGTTTCTCACTATCACCTCCCACTGTAACCACCCTCCTCTCACTCACCCCATCATAACAGATGCACTGACCTGTTCTTTCTCCTTGTTTCAATCTCTATGGGTGGTAGGCCCATATTTTCTGTGTATTTCCACCCTATGTCAAAAGGCTTGCTTCTGGTCCAGCCCAGGATACTCATCCCCATCCCCTGCACCCCAAGAAAACCCATGGAAATGGTGCAGCATGCAGCATACTGTTGACATGTATTGTTTTTAATCTTTGATAGGTGAGGCTTATTCCTAGCCCATCTAAAAGAGAAAGCCTTTACAACATGGCTTTAGAGGAAGAATCAGAAAGAAAAACTTCATGTGCAACTGCTATACCAAGACTAATCATAGAAGTAAAGTTGAAATGCAAGGAGTGTAGATCTGTCTTCATGTTAGATGTAACAGTGTACAATACTAGCATACCCCCTAGGGTCTACATGTTTGTGTGTGTGTGCATGTTTAAAAGAGTGGAATATGATTCAGCGTTTCAGCCAAGGGTGCAACTTGGGCAGGCCCAATCCGAGACTGAACCGGCCCAGCCCAAAATTTTACATGGGCTAGGCTTGGATTTTCGGTCCTTGGGTTGGGCTTGGACCCAAGAAATCGGGCATTTTTATTTTTCGGGCCGGGCCCAGGCCTAGCCCTTAGGTAGCCCAAACCCAGGCCAACTATACACATGTATATAAATATATGTGTTGTGTGTGTGTGTTTGTGTGTATTACTACACACACACACATTTGTATACATATTTGCATAAATACATATATATGTATAATTTTAGAGTGGGTTCATTGACCACTTGAGTGTAACAAATTACAGTGTGGGCTGGGCTCGGGTTGAGAAAATCGTGCTTGACCTTGGGCTCGGGCCTTAAGCCCAAATTTTAGGGCTGGGCCAGGGTTGACCATAAACCCGGCCCAACCCACCTGACTTGCACCCCTAATTTCAACTTTTCAACACAAAGGGGCAAAGGGCATAACTGTGAATCCATCACTCATATGGATGCCAAGCCAGATGCTGGATCTTCCTAGTCTGCCACAATTTGAGTCGTAATACTCGTATTGAAACTAGGTTGAAACCTCCAGTGTAACATTGTTTATAGTGAGAAAAACAAATAGCCAGGCATTCATTTGGAGTCAGGAAATATTCTGATATATGTGAAATGTGAATGTGTTTGCTTTTACAGATATGTGCATGACCATAGATGTATGTTTATATAGATCACAATTGAAGCACTTTAGGTTATAGCAACAGATTTCTACATGAGAACCACCAAGGTATAAGGCAGCAAATACGCAACATGCCAAACTATTGGTTAGAAGAAAGGAAATCTAAAGCAGTTTACCTCACCCAAATACTTCTGAACAAATTCTGAACCAACCACTCTTATGAAGGCTGCAGTCGTATGATTAGCAACAGCCTTGGCAAGCATTGTTTTACCTGTGCCAGGTGGACCATAAAGCAATACTCCTCGAGGAGGATCTATGCCAATCTGTTTATATAGCTCATGATGTGTCAAAGGTAATTCCACAGCTTCCCGGATTTCCTGCTTTTGAATGTCACATCCTCCAATATCCTGACCCATCAGAAACATGTTAAGATGAGAGGACATCATGCATTTGAAACGATAGCAGACAGTGCTATCTGACAACATATACATGACATAAACAAATGCTAGCTGACCAATGAAAAATTAACCCAACTCAGACTTAATTCAACAGTTCAGTTTGCAATCAAGTTTATTAACTACTAAATTTCAATAAAAAAAAGTAAAGAAGAAACAGCTAGGTTGTATTTTACATCCTAACTACACAAATTCTCCTCGATAATCAGCATTACCCATTTACCTGTAAACTTATAAGCAACAACATAGATAACTTCCCAATTCCATAATTTTCAATAAGAGAAATGAGCAAGATGGAAATAACAAGAAAAATTTTTCAACTTACAACAAATTAAAGTAGAAAATGTGCTGAATAACCTAGCATTACTCACTTTTAGCGAGGGGATCTCTGAAAGCAAAAACCATGCAATCACTCTGCAAGCATGGGCTTCCAGCCACAGATTGGGAACATCTCCCCATGAATTTAAGATACATGTACGGGAGATATTCCCAACGTGTTGCTGGATTCTGTGTTCCCAGAGTTTATGCCTTCAGAAGATCTGGGCTCTCACTTTTATCTTCACTCAAGATACAACATATTGCTGCAACCTAGCATACCTTTTTTGCTTAAAGCAGCTCATATCACTAAAAAAATACAGTTACAACTGATGGCCTAGCCAGGCCTTTATCCCACCCTCTTAAAATTTCATAAAATCTCTCAATTTTTTTTTGGGAGAAAGGTAAGGTAATATTGTATTATCATAAAATCTCTCAAACTCTCTTAGTCTTTGATTAAGAGACCTAAACTCGAACTTCCATGACCATATATTAATAATATTTTTTATTGGTATTTTCTTAGTTGATGTTTTTATTGTTTCTTTTAGTACAATATTCCAAATTAGTGAATTACTAGAGTCTATTATGAATTATGATAGATCCTTTATTGAAAATCTAAAATCATGAAATCAGCAATAATAAAACATAAAAGTATGTAATGAATATCACTAATGACAAGTTGTCATTAGGGTAAGAGCTTAAGAGATAAGATAAAGGAATTATGATAGTATGTAGCCCTAGAGCTGTAATGTGGGCATTGCCAGGCTGGCACGATGCCTACTTGGCACAAATCTGCCAAGAGGGGAATCCAGCACGGCCGAGAAGTTGGGTTGCACACCGGCACAAATTTTCTTTCTTTTAAGAAAAACCGAAAAAAATAATAATAAAATAGAAAAATTTAACAAGATAGACAACAAATTGGGAAAAGTCTTAAAATTTTATTCAACATGAATTTTAATGTATACAATTGGCCATATATGAAATAATAAAATGAAATGGAAAATACAATGAAATTGGAAAAATAGTACAACAAAATTGAATATATATATATATGGGCCATGATGAGCTGAGTTGTGGTCCAGGCCATTTTCCCGTGTCGTGTTATGCCAGCTCATGGGCTTGGACCCCCTAAACTTGGCACGACCCAAGGTTTCGGGCCATGCACGGCACAAGTACTATAGTTGGGTTTACCATTTAACCCGACCCATTGACATCCTTAGGCCCAAGTTGCGGCCCTCATTGGGGGTGGGGAGGTTAAATGCAAATTTCCCTAGAAAGGGGAAAATCCACACCTCCCTGCCAAGGATACACATCAAAATTCTGAAAGAAATTAAATATTTTAGAAACCTTATAAGCTCAATTGACCACAGCCTCATGTTACTAACATAAAGTTTATAGTGTTGTGCATTTAAGTCCTACATAGGTTACATTTTTTGAACTCTAACAACAAAATTATAATTACAACACAATAAACTATTTGTTCAACATCAACTTCTAGGTTAACTCATCAAAAGATAGAAAGAAGCCAGGTGAGACACACCCCTCAAAATGAGCCTTGCCTGCAAGCATAGGCACACTAAAGTTGCACCTTTTAAAACAATGGTGCATTTTTTTAATTGGAAATAATGGTACGGTATTTTCTTATTAGCAATATAAATAGGCCTCCCATTGTCAGAATATTTCTTTCCCCCTTTAGGAATTAATTCAAATATTAAAGACATAGAATAGATTCTTCAAGATAGAATATTTACCACAAAAGAAGTTTTTTCATTGATCATGGTCCAAATAGAACAATGTTTTTTACTTACCAAAAATGGTAGAACAATGTTTTAAAGGGGGTCTTAGGTCAGTGACTTAAAATAAAAAGGCGCACCTCAGGCACACATGCAAGGTACATTCTAAGGCATATGCCTCATCTAGGACCAAGTACAACCGCTTTAAGAAGGTGCGGACCTGGTGTGCCTTGCGCCTTAGTTATGTACTTTTGGCGATTTTTTAAGAATGGTGACTAGGTAGGGGACTCCACCCCCAAACCCCTTGAGGCAAGCCCAAACAAGAACAAGTGTACGTTAGGGTTTTAAATTCTTAATCTATACTAAAAAGAATGATTTTAAAATTTAGTTATTTATTTTATGAATTTTTTGCATTTTTTTGTGCACTTTGTTGAAATTTTGAAAAATTTTGCTCCTTGCTTCAAAAAGGCATCCCCTTGACTTGCACCTTGTGCTTTTAAAAGTTAAAACACCTCATGAATGCTTAGGTATTCACAGGTAAGACTCATTTCATGCCGTGCACTACACCTGAACCTAGATGTGCATCTCCTATTCTGATGCTATGTTTTTTAAGAATTAACCTTGAATTTGATATTAAATATATAATTTATTATATTGTAGGGTGTACTTACAATGCTTAAGAGTTTAAATGGTTTATTCTATGACGTACTTGAACGTACAAGGCCACAACATTCCAACAAAATTGAGATGATAGGTTTTCTGATTTTTTTTTTATCAGCACAGAGTAATTTATTAATGCTTGAAAAAAGTACAGATCCTGGCTACACAGTAGCCCAAATACATCGGAAACCAGAATGGCCACCCTGATTACCATGCCCCCCTTTTACTAATACAGATTACAACATTGCCCAAAATAGTGGATTTGTCCACTCCCTGTTTTGCGAGAACATCTGCTAATCCATTTGTTGTTCTTTTTACCCATCCAAAGCTAGTGTTACAACTTTTTGCAAGGTGGCCAATTTCACTAAAAGCAAATTTATATTTCCAAGGAGTTGAACTAGTTTGTTTCGCCCAAGAAATAACCAATAAGGAATCTCCTTCCACTTCAAGCTCTCTAACACCCATCTGTGTTGCCAGTTTTAGTCCTTGTAAGAGAGCCATTGTCTCAGCCTTAACCAAGTCACCAAATCCAATTGGCCCAGAGAATAAAGCCACAACTGCACCTAGATGGTTCATGAAAACTTCCCCCATACCCACCCCCCCGGATTACCAAGGGAGCTCCCATCAAAATTTAATTTCAATTTGTTTGGCCTTGGAGGTTTCCATTCCATTATCACTACTTTGTGTGTATCTGTTTATACCACTTCAGACCATTTCGATAATAAGTCATTTGTGGAAACATCTCTAAACAGCTCCAAAGATTTAGCCCGATGTGCAGATCTGATCCTTATGCATTCAATCACTTCATCCATTGACCTACTTACTCTTTTCTTGGAAGATTCTTTGGTTTCTCTCCTCCCAAATGGTCCATACCAAGGCTGCTCTTGTGATTTTCCATAGAGATCTTCCCCTTTTCTTCTGTTGCCTTAAGAAACTGGAGTTAAATAGGCTAGCCACATCCTGAGGGGGTACCCATCTGCAACCAAAAAGAGAGCAGAAGTAGTCCCAAATAAATGAACTAGAAAGTAGTAAATGAGGAAGGGTCTCACCACTGGCCTTGCAAAGGAGACACACATGAGAAGAGAGCAATTATTTGGCCTTCTTTTCTGTAGAACGTCACAGGTGTTTAACTTCTCAAGGAAACTTTCCCAACATAGAGCCTGAGCCTTAGGAGGGATTGGTTTGCACCAAATTTCTCTCACCAGGAGATTTACCCCCAAGGGTTCTAAACTAATAAGGAGGTTAAAGAAAGAAGCACAGGAGAAGTGACCATTAGGGGAGGGGTACCAAACTCTACCATCCAAGAGATTTTGATCCAAGAAAACCTTTTTTCCAAGAGAGAGAGTAAAAGGATAAGGGATTCACACTCGTTGTCCCTCAACCCCCTTCTGAACCTGAAATCCCAATTTGAAGCATGTGATGAAGGCATGTCAAACCTAGAAACCAATTCGTTCTTGAGGTTTGTTAGAGAGTATAGTACTGGGAATTGCAGTTTGAGTGGTAGGTCCCCAAGCCAAAGGTCTTCCCAAAATAAGACCTTGTTCCCACATCCCACATCATAACGGGTAGAATTTAAAAAAGTAGGTAGTACCTCAGAGATTACTTTCCAAGGGGAACTTTGTGAGGCGCCAGTTTTGCATCCCAGCCATTTTCTGCAACACCAAGAACGCTTTCAATGATCTTGTGCCACAATCTATCTTCTTCTAAGGGAAATCTTCATAACCACTTTCCTAAGAGAGCTGTAATCCTCTTAATCAGGTTCCCAATTTCCAAGCCTCCTTGTTCCTTTGGTTTACACACCTGTTCCCATCTCACCAAACGATCTTTCTTTTCATCTCCTGGCTCTCACAAAAAATCCCTCATCAATTTTTCTAATTGCTATGCAATTTTCACCGGGATTCTAAAGGTGGAGAGGTAATAGGTGGGCAGATTAGCTAAGGTGGATTTGATCAACATAATTCTTCCCCCTAAAGAGATATAGTTTCTCTTCCAAGATGCTAATTTTTAAGCAAATCTTTCCACTATTGGTTTCCAGAAACTCTCTGCTCTAGGGTTTCCTCCCAACGGCATACCTAGGTACTCTAGGGGCCAAGCTCTCACCTCACATCCTAGGATCTAAGCCAAAAGTGACAACTACTCCTCTCCCAAATTTGCCCCAGCCACACAACTTTTCCCCCAGAAAAATGATTATGTCACCCACAAATTGCAGATGTGTCACAACAACCTCATTTCTTCCAATTCTCC